ACCATGAGAAACCCTCAAAATAGAGTTACCGAAGACTGAATCTGTCTGAGGGTGTTGGGTGCTCAATTCCCACATGGTCCAAAGCTTTTTGTCCTTCACGAAATAGGAGCTGAACCTGAATCTTCTTTCTGGGCACTGAGCAGGGCCAGAGGGGATGTGGTGGGACTTCTCTGCCTCTGCCTCAGTTGACTGGCTGGGAGCTGGGGATGCACAAGCCCAGGGAGTAGATGCTCTCTGTTGCTGGAAAAAGCAATGAGGAGTGAGAGCCCCACAGAGATCAGAAACCAGGTCTCCCTCCCCAAATTTTCCAGCACCAGGGAAGCATGGTTGCTCTCTGCCTGTGACGTTTAGCTGAGAAGGGCCACCCAGCAGGGAGAAACCACCTTGATAGGGAGGGTGGAGGTTGTGATAACACCTGTGGGATTGATCTTGACATGGACCTGAGAAGGTGTGCACTGGAGCTGACCCTAACCTCTTCCATAAGCTGTGCTTTGATCAGAAACCCAGCTGGCGTTCTGCCAAGCTTGGGAGGAAATCTGGAATAAAACCCAAAGACAAGAGCTATGAAAGCCCCCAGAGCTGCCCTGGCTGGAGTTCCCACCCAGTCTCTGTGGGAGTGCTGTGTTGTTTCTTGAAACTGAGGATGTTTTTATGAGGCTGTTGGGAAGTTTATTTGTTCAAACTGCACTGGCTTTGCTCTGCCCAAGGGCTTCCCATCTGAGCTGGTGGAAATGCCCTTTCTGATGGTCAGTAGTAAGTAGCTAAAGAGGCTGCACTCCCTGTAGAGGTCCTAGCTCAGTCATTGTCTCCTCTGGGAGGTATTCCATGACCTTGTCCTGCTCAAACTTTGCCCCCTTCTTGTCTTGCAGGACGTGGGCTCTCTCATGCCTTGTCTCGCTCTTCTTCCCTCCTAAAACCTCCTTCTGAAGGATGGCAGCTGCCTCTTTCCGCTATGGCCTGACCATCACCGGGGCCGTGCTGCTGGTGACGGGGACGCTGTGCTTTGCCTGGTGGAGTGACGGGGAGGTCGGCTCATCGGCTGGCAGCGGGACTCGCCTCCTGCCTCCCCGGGAAGCCGAGGCAGTTCCCAGCTCCTCCTCCTCCAGCGCCCTGCTCCGCTCCGTCAGCTTCTTCTGCTGTGGTATTGGTGGCATCCTCCTCCTCTTTGGCCTCCTCTGGTCCGTGAAAGCCAACACCAGGGTGGTCTCCCGCCGCTACCAGTACCATTTCCCCAGGGATCTGCAGTACTTCACCGCGGAGCCCCCGGAGAAGTGGAACTGCAGGTGGGTGCCACGTCCCTGTGCGGTGCTTGGGTGGGCAGAAGTGGAGGGTGGTCTTGGCTGTCCCGTGTGCCTGAGCCTGCTCCCAGACTGGCTTGCTGGTGAGCTTACAGGAGCAACAACACATCCGCACTGCCAGCCACCTCTCAGACCCCGGTCTGTGCTCTCCTCCTGCTCCTGAGCAGATGCTCTTGCTCATTAGTGTCAACCTGAGCATCCACACTCCCCTCCCTGCCAGCCCCTGTCTGCCTACACTGGCTGCACCCGTGGCCAGCTTGGCTGCATCCAGCTCTCCTTGCCCTGCAGGGCCATCACAGAGGGAGGCAACATCTCCTTAGCAGAGCCACCAAGCAGAAGACTACATTGGTT